TGAAATTTAACTATTTAAATAACATTAAAATACAACTGGATCACCGATGTCGTCTTCTCGAATGAGTTCCACATGGCGGTGGTTGTCTATTTCGTAGAGGATTTCTTCGTGGAAACTTGTTCTTCAGTCTCCTCATCTTCACTATCATCATCAGCAGTATTTTCTTCATTTGGTGTAGATGACGCTGAAGGGCCTGTATAAAATAACGACCCTGGAGGAGTGCTAGTAATAATCCCACCGCTCCCCGGGAACTGTGAAAACTGTGGAAACATTGGCATCGATGTCTGTGATCCAGATGGAGATTGAGGTGTCTGCGGAGAAGCACCACCAGCAAATAAGATGCATATAAACCATATGCTGGATCATTAAACATAGTCGTATATGCACCTCCATATGGTATAAAACCCTGCGGGCTAGGCATGTAACCTGGCGGGCTAGGAATGTAACCCTGCGGGCTCGTAATGTAAACTGGTGGGCTTGGCATATGAAGTGAAGGGCTGGGCATGTACCCCTGTGGCATCGACGGATAAGGATGTTGTGGTGGGACTGATGCAGAACCGGTAGCGCCTTCTCTCCGTCCACGTGTCGGGGGACGATGATATTGAGACGGTTGACGTCTTTCTCGGTGCCTAGGAATGTTAACCCCTCGTGCTTCCGTCGAAAGTAGAAACGGCTTCCCATTTTCATTAAACCAGTCCATATAGTTATCCGTAACCATATGACCAGTTTCAGCGTAATATTGTCGAGGGGCCAACAATGTATATCGGTTCTCCTAAAGCGCAATCCAATCTCTGTGTCTCACCACCCAGTTAACATCTTTCTTTTCTCGTCTATCTATGTTATGCACATCGTCTAAATTCCTAGGTGCTCCAGGAATATATTGCGTACAACCATACTGACGGAGCATGCGATCAACTGGACGCCACTCAATAATAGCATAACATATAAGAGGTATAACCGATATCCATACCTCTAATGACCCACTAAGGTGGGGTGGGATGCAAGCTTTCACTTCATCGCTCGCATAAGGTATCCACTGAAACTGAAATATAAATATACAATTCAAATAAATAAAATATTCTAATTAAATCTAGCATTTTAAATTAAAATATTAATAATTAAACAAATTTAAAACATACCTCAAACCCAGCTTTCGTATCAATAAGTAAACGAATTTCCTCTAACTCAGCAGGTATACTTTTATGGTCCTTTCTTTTCATCGACCACCTATGAAATATAATATAAACTAAATATCACCCTATTTAATTAAAAATATTTAAATCAAAATTTAGTTCGAAAATTACCTCAACAATAAGGGGAATACGTATGGTTCATTCACGATCATGCATAAGAAAGGCATGCGGAACCACGCCCATGATTGTAGAAGCAGAAGACATCCACCGATAGTAGTTTTCTTATAATTCGTCGCCCGACACATTTTCTAAAGAGAAATGCCAAAACTGCAGCGCCCCAACTATATCTTCCAGCTTCATCAAAATCGATCAGATGCTGCAACCACATACAATGCACCTGGTTGCGAGATTTGTCGGGCATCAATATTCCTCCAATTATTCGTAGAATATATGCCCGAGCACATGCCTTTGCTTGATCCTCTGAAGCATTTTCATTTAAAACCTCAAAATTAGCTTTCAACCAAGATAAAGCTATTCTACCTCCATTAAACTCTGGCGGAGCAGCTCCAAGATAATCAATGCACATTGACTGCCAATCACCATCCGCCATACCACACATCATATTTCCGTCGACGGGAAGCCCCAGATGCATAGAGACATCCTCCAATGTAATTGTGGCCTCTCCACATGGAAGGTGAAAAGTGTGTGTCTCGGGCCTCCACCTCTCAATCAGTGCAGAAATTAGGACAAGTTCGAGTTTGCAACCGCCAATAATTGTTGCAATATACCCAAACCCGGCAGAAGCCAAATATGGCAAAATACGTTCTGGTGTTGGTATACGTGGATTTTTAATAAAAGTCTCTAAAATACGATCAGTATCCTAAATAATATACATTATAAAAAATAAAAATTAATATAAATTCATAATAACTTTAAAATAAAAATAAATTTAAATATTAACATTATAAAAGATATTACCATATCGCTAAAATGTCTGGAGATATGATCAATATCCAATCGCAACAGCATTTTATTTTCCATTATAACTGTAGACAAAACAATATAATTAGCACAAAAAAATTAATAATTCTAAATAAATAATAATTATATAAATATTATTTTAATAAAAAAATAATATTTACATAAATATATTAATATAAAATATAATAACTATTTAAAAAAATACTAACATAAAAATAAATTTCTTACTATTAATAACAAATTTAAAACTCAAATAGTTAGAGAATTTGAGTTATATAAGAGAGGAGAATATGATTTTGGTGTGAAGAATGAGGAAGGGTTGAGGGGGTTTATATAGGGGAGGAGGGGGGTAGTTAGGGAAAACGGATGGGGGCATTTATGGCATTTAATGAAGGCACGTCCCGGGGATGCGCTTTCCACACGTGGCAGTCGAGTCAGTGAAGGCGCATCCCCGGGATGCACCTTCCACACGTGGCATCCAACTCAGCGAAAACACGGATAAAACGCGTCCCCGGGGACGCGCCTTTCACCAGCTCAGCCGAAAGGGTGCCACTTCGAGAAATATATATTAAACAGTATCAAAAAGGTAAATATTCGTTAAAGACGTGTAAGTTTGGTCAAATCGACTCAAAGCACAGTCTATAAGATTTTTGTTAAAAGAGTAATGATGATGGTATTTGAAATATTATATTTCTGATTTCGAAACTCTTGTTGTTAGTATCTTCAGAGCAAAATATTTCCTGGAAAGCATTTTCTTGGAAGTCTGCCAAGGCAATAACCCATCTTTTGTCGCCTACAATTGCTTGTTCATGGCAGGAACCCCCCCTTTCGTGGATTCTATTCCTTTCTAGGTTTGGAAGATATGAAGGTGCAGGAATTATTTGCAGCTGATGGCAAGTTGTGGGATAAGTGTGTTAGCTCATGTTGTGGCCTTGATGAGGACTTAAATCACGTTCTAATCAGATGCTCTATAGCCCAAGAAGCTTATGTTTCCTGTTCATCATTGAGCATGGTTGGCAGCAAATAATATTTTTATGGCAGCATTTCCTAGTGTTGATTCCTGTTGATGAACAATTGAATTAAATTAATTTGGATCGAAAATCACAATTGATAGTTGTACGACAACTATTGACCGATATTAAGATACTCTATTCCTATAAGGAGAAAAAAATAATATAGGGAGAGCAGTTAAATGAACATTTCATCGCGATATCTATATTAACTCAGGTGGAGTTGTTTTCTTTCAAAGTTAAATGAACATTTTAGATTTTACAAAGTTATCTCAAAGGCATATATACACTTTATATGTGTATGAATTTAAATACAAAGTTATCTCAAAGGCATATCTCAAAGTTAAATAATATCCAATGTAATTCTTTGACCAACGTTTTTCGTCATTAGCTAGTGGTATCTTTTGGTTTTATAAATTGAATAAATTACATCATTAATCACTAAACTTTAAAAGTTTTTAATTTAATCATTCAACTTTTGAAATTCTCATATTTTAATTACAATGACTTTTTTTATTAATATTTATGTATGATGTGGTATTTATTATTATTATATTATTATAGGATTAAAATATTTAATTAAAATTTCAAAATTGTATTTAAATTAAAAAATATTTTCAAAATCCTAAATTACAACCCCAACCCCACGTCATCGTCACTCTCACCATTACCAGCCTCTCCGATCAGCCCCTCCCTTTCTGACTATTAGGTGAGGTCATGAGAACTCGCTTCCAGCTGGTGAAGCAGAAAGTTCTACTTCAATAGCCCCCCTTGGGTATGGCCACGAGCCCACGAGTGTTGGCCAATCAAGAGTTTCTGAAAGATCAAGTTCACGGCATTGTTCTTCACGTTCTCGCATGGTCTCCTCAGGGAGAACTGGGGACGAGACCAGGGGAATCTGGTTATAGAAACATCACACATGATAGTAGTGATCCTCAATCTACTGTCAGCAGAATTCAATTCGAACTTGACACCTTATTTTGGATGATAGTCGGAAGGGAAAAGACTAATAGGAAAGGCTGGTAATGGTGAGGGTGACGGTGGAAATGGGATTGTGATTTGAGAGTTTGGGAAATATTTTTTATTTAAATATAATTTTAAAATTTCAATTTAATTAATATTATTTTAATCATATATTAATAAAATAATAATAATAAATACTATATTATACATAAATATTAATAAAATAAATTATGATGATTAAAATATGAGAATTTTTAAAGTTGAGCAATTAAATTAAAAAATTTAAAGTCCAGTGATGAATGATGTAATTTAACTAATTTATAAATGTAAAAGGTACTACTTACCTACTTGATGTGCCACGTAGCAAGCCATATGTCCTTTTGTTATCTTTATTACTAACTTATCATATCATCAAACTAATAATATTTAATATTTTAGTGGTCAATACGCTATAAAATAATAATAAAAATAATCAATATGTTATAAATAATAATATAAATAAATAAAATATTACTTTTAAAATTCCATGATCAAAAGTGAATACTTATAAAACAAAAGTGACCATTTCAATAGTTTATCCGAAATAATGCTGAGAGTGAAATAAAATAGGGAAGGTTTTAAAGAATTCAACAGCAATGAAGAAAGAAAAAGGCGGTTACGACCGTCGGCGAAGATTTCGATGACTTTGAAAAATGCTGATATTTCAAAACGAGTCGTTTGGATATTGATGAAATGCACCGGCAGGATTGGTGGCGAAGCGAAGATTCCGGCAACTGCTTCGAGATCCGGAGAAAAATATGTCAAAACGAAAATGAGTTTTCAAAACAATTTTCCGCTGCTCCTTTTTTTTGAATTTTTTGTTTTTGTTTTTTTTTTATAAAAATCATACAAGAAAAAAAAAGGACAGCCAGTAAAGAGTTAATAGCAATGGAATCGAGATTGGATCATTACGAGATCATGGAACAAATCGGCCGTGGAGCTTTTGGCGCTGCCATTCTCGTTTATCACAAGACCGAGAAGAAAAAGTACTTTTTATATGTTTTTGAATTTCTCAATTTCTAATTTTAATTGCTTATTTTGATTGGTTGAACTTTTTTTTAATTGTAGGTATGTGTTGAAGAAGATCAGATTGGCGCGGCAAACGGAGCGTTGTAGGAGTTCTGCACATCAAGAAGTTAGTTTATACATCTTTTTAAACACTTCAGTCTGTTTCCGCGTTAAAGCAATAGCGAGTTTAATATTCCAACTTACAATCTAGTTTCGATTATTGTGAACTGTAGATGGCACTTCTTTCGCGAATTCAACACCCTTACGTTGTTCAATTTAAGGAAGCCTGGGTTGAGAAAGTAAGATACCAGACTATTTTTTTCTGCTAGGATTCTCGATTCAAAATCTGCTTATACTTTTAGCTTGTTGAGTACGTGACTGCCTTTTTTTTAATTTCATTTTGAGTTTTGTAATTGTTATGTAGGGTTGCTATGTTTGCATTGTTACTGGATACTGCGAAGGTGGAGATATGTGAGTTTCTGTATTTGTACGAGAACTTGATTCGGAGTGTTTTTGTTTTTACAAATCCTGCAAAAGTTGCATTGTCTAAATATTGTTCTGTTTAACGTTCTAACAGGGCTGAATTGATGAAAAAATCAAATGGGATCTATTTCCCCGAGGAGGTAATCTAATTTCTCTACGCCTATTGATTTTACAAGTTAGTTTCTTTTAGAGTCGTGTGGCATGGTGAAAGGTTCCCCGTTGAGGTTTCGGGCCTCCCTGGTCCCCATGACCCCATCTAATTGTGGAAGATGGTAAGTGGTTATGACTTACAGCTAATTCCAATGTTTATGAACATTGTGCAGAAGCTCTGCAAGTGGTTTGTGCAGCTACTTCTGGCAGTTGAATATCTGCATTCAAATTTTGTTTTGCATCGTGACATAAAGGTACCAATGTTAATTCACATTGGTCTTTCTATTAAATTAATGTTTTATGGACTGACACTGACTTAATCACTTTCTCGGTAGTGTTCCAATATTTTTCTTACCAAAGATGAAGATGTCAGGCTAGGTGAGTTTGTCTTTTTCCTTTTCTTCTTGGTTTCTTAGAGGTTTTCTCTTTTTCTTTGTTTCCTATTATGTTAGATATCCTACCTTATTGTCTATTCTGAGATTTTTATCCTAAACTTCTTTCTGGTCTGTACTGGTTTAGGGGATTTTGGGCTTGCTAAAACTCTAAAGGCAGATGATTTGGCTTCCTCGGTATGTACTTTGTAATGAAATGACTTTTTGACATACATGTTCTTTTTAATCCTTTTTCAACCATGTCCAAAGATGGAAAAGAATTCTTTTGGATCATTTCTTTTAGCAAATTTATTCCTTATCTTCCTACTGTGGGGTATAATATGCTTATGCTATAAAGCTTGAAAATGCAGTTTTGTCTTAATATTTGTGTTCTGTTGGCTGATGCCTCAATTTCTTTCACTTTTATGGAAAAATTTCTTGCATGGTAGCATATTACCCATATTCTCTAATTGATAACATATTCCACTCTTCTACATTGGCTGTGACAGTCTAACATAGTAACATTTTCTGGAAAAATAATATGATTGGTTAAAATGAACAGGCATACTGTGTGCAAAGCTTTCTGTTAAACTCATTGCTAATTTTACTTTTATCTACTGAGAACAAGTTTTAACGAATTGTTGAGTAAAATTCATTAATAATCTCTTAATCATTTTTAAGGAAAGAATTAAAGCAAAAAGGGATCACTTGGTGACACCTTAGTATTTTTTGGGATTGATGGCTTCATTATTTAGGAATTGAAATAAGTGTGTTACATTTGATGATAGGAGAGATGTATTTAACATTTTTAATGGTCTTGTATTTATAATTTATTGTAAAAGAGCCTAAAATTTGTGCAATACCTACTGCAGTGCCTTAAATTAACTGTCATTTATGTTTTTTTGATCTAAAGACATTGTTTATAACTGTATTATTGGGTTAGATTTTGTACTCCTCAATCCCCGCACTCATACTCAATACATTTGCACAAAGGAAGTGGGGAGGAGGGAGTTGAAACCTGCACCTTGAGCCTCCAATGCCATGAGTATGAGAACAACCACTAGTCTAGAACTCTGTATTCTCAAACCCTTATATTGACAATCAACAATATTTGTTTACCTTTGATATTTTTATTTTTTTTGCATTTATTCTTATATTAGAATGTGCTAATTATTTTTAGTTCCAGTGCTAGTTAAAGTTGTTTTGTACGTACCTCAGGTGGTTGGAACTCCCAATTACATGTGTCCTGAACTGCTTGCAGATATTCCTTATGGTTTTAAGTCTGATATCTGGTCTCTGGGTATGTGTATTTTCTCGAGTGTTTGACATAGACAAATGTATACATATATACATAAGTTGAATTGCTTCTTGTTGAACAGGGTGCTCTATGTATGAGATGGCTGCTCGTCGCCATGCTTTTAAAGCTTTTGTAAGAGTTCTTGCAATTCTTTTGGTTGAATCATTTTCTTCTGTTCAGGAATGAGCTTACTCAGTTTACGCCATTCTGATGAATGGTACTTTCATTTGATGTCATTTTAAAGGGATATTAAAAAAATTCTTTTCCCCCCTTTTGCATTATTGTGGAATTTATTCCCATTGCCAAATATAATGAAACTTTCTATCTGTCGGTTATCTGAATTGGGAATAATATGTAGCACCTTTGCTATGTTCATAACTGTTTTCCATGAATTCTGCCCTCCACTCTTTAAAATAATGCTTTCAATGTAGTTAATGTCATCTTATTGTCTAGTGTGATGTGATGTCCTTTGAGAGGTTTTCCATAAACTACTAATTGTATGCCTCCACTAACCATGCAAATTATGCAAATTTAATTCAATTAATTTTTATTAAACTTCTTGTTCTAGGACATGGCAGGGTTGATAAGCAAGATAAATCGTTCCTCTATCGGCTCTTTGCCTTCTTGCTATTCTCCATCATTGTAAGTCTCAATATTATTTTTAGAGCTCTCACTTATTGTACGTTCTCATGATAACTGAGTTGTCTTTGTGATTTTTCATGCTCTGACAGTGCTTTTCTACCCTTGCATGTTTCTTCATTTGCTTTTAATTTTTCTTTTATGCTATGTTTGGTAGGAGTGTTATTTTTTCCTCATGTTTTAGTACCTAAGTTAGCAATAAACTAGCATCACTTGGTATTTAGCCACCCACCTGACTTAATTTGAATAAAGAGAGAATGTATATTACTTATTTTGAATAGGTACTATTTTTTACTTGAGTTTTTACTCATCTTTCTAACTTCAAGTTTAGATTTATTCTATTTCTTTCGTAGTTATGAAAAACTATTTTAAAACTCATGTAATAATTAAGCTTTTTCCTTATGTTAATACTTATGTACCTAACATGACATTAGGTTTCAATAATGTGCAGATCTCTTGATCAATTTTTTTCTTACAGATCTAGGAATTTTAAATTTGGATTCTTGGAAATTTGTTTCTTCCCTTTATTAGGCAAAAAATAGTGAATTTTCATTTATAATCCCAAGGGACTCAGTGATCTGTATTTGGTAGTAACACCAAACATGATTAATGCTATATATTTTGTCAAGTCATCAAGTCCTCACTGCATGATTGTTAATCTGTTTAATGTTACATGCACAGGAAAGCAGTTATCAAGGGCATGCTAAGAAAGAATCCAGAGCATCGACCAAGTGTAAGAGTTTCTTTTTGCTTAATTCTAACGATTCTCCACATGCAGGACTTCAGTGTAACATTTTGAGTTTTCACCTTGACTAGGCATCAGAGCTTTTGAAGCACCCTTATTTGCAGCCATACGTTGATAAGTATAGTCCATCATTCAGCTTCCTTTCGAAGAACTGCTGCGTGGATAAGCATATTACCACTGGTCGTGGTAATAGGAAAAATTTCGCCGAGAGTCAAAGTAATGGTAAATCCACTGACATGGATTCCAATTCTAAGGAAGAAGAGATCTGTTCCATTATATTCACTGGTAAAATTGATGAAAAAGGAATGCCGGAATCTTCTCAGGTGGAACAGGGATCTAATGTTCCATCAAAGCAACTAAAAACCATCAAAAGCATAGTAACGACTTTGAAAGAAGGGAAAGTAAGAGAAAGTGGTTCCCCTATGAGAGGTAGCCGTACAAAAGCTGCAGGTGGATTGACTCAAAGAAATAATATAGAGGCGTCACCCAAAGTTCTCAAATCTCCTGCTCCAACTCCAGGTTCAAAATCTAATGCAAATACACCAACTGTTGCTTCAGCGAAATTACTATTAGATTGTGCAAACAAGATGCCGGGATCACACCATTTGAAGCAGCAGGTATGACTACCACTTAATGGTATAATCTTAATCTAATTTGTTGTTGGTGTCCTCACTTTGCAAAGTTCCTCTCCAGTTAGGTGTAATTGAACCCTCTTCCCCTAAGACCAAACCTAGACAAGAAGGGTTTCTTCCACCTGCAATGGGGAAACATGTTGCTGAAGATGATCTGCCTTCTAAAAACAGAATTACTTCCAATGTTGCAAGAAGATCATCTGTTACAGTAAAAATGAAGCATGCTGGAAGTGATGTTTCAAATGGGGCAAGTAACAGAACCTTAGGATCTTCAGAAGCAAACCAGGGTTGTGAGGCTATTTCCCACCAACTGCCTAACGGTTACCCTACAAATGCTTCTGGTGTGGTAAAACAAGACACTGAGATAGCACTAAGTGGGGCTACCAAGACGGTGCAGACAGAAAACAGCACTTCTGTCTCACCTGCAACCTCAATTCAAGCACTTGAGGTTTGCGATGGTGCAACAACCACTTTTATTGACACAACAAAACAGACGCAGGATCATCAGATGATTGCCGACATCAAGAGCTTTGAATCACATCCACCATGCTGCTCACCTGCTCTGAAATCAGAGATGCATGAGGTTCTGTTGAAAGAAGGCTACAGATTCGATCATGAATCTGTCATGTTTTCAACTGAAGAATCTGGTCCAGCTCAGGCTCATTTCACTTCAGTTGATGAAAAAGCGAGTCCAGATGCCCCTTTGGACCTTCCATACTCGATTTCTGAAGAAAATTTTGTTAATAAGGATGAGACTACTGCAACCAGGACAATTAGTAGGGATGGTGCTCATTTAAAGCAGACATTTAGTAGGGATGATACTCCTTTAAGCCGAACAAGTAGTAGGAATGATTCCCCTATGAGTAGCCCAAGTAGTAAAGGTGGTGCCCGTATGAGCAGCAGCTCAAGCACTTGGGAGTATGCTCCAATTACCAGGCCAAGTAGCAGTAATGATGCTCCTATAAGCAGTTTAAATATTAGAGATGATGCCCCTATAAGCTGGTTAAGTATTGGGGAAAATTACCCTTTAAGTGGACCAACTGCTGGGGAAGATTCCCCCACTAGAAGACTAAGTAGCAGTGATGATGCCCCATTAAGCAGGTTAAGTATAAGGGACGATGCCCCTACAAGCAGGTTAAGCATTGTGGAAAATGTCCCTGTAACTTGGGAAGATTGCCTCACCATCAGGCTGGATGAAACTATGGCAGGCGGACCTAGTAGTAAGGTTGATGTGATGCTTCATTCAAATCTTTCTTTGCCTGCCAGTGGTGAGGATAAGTTCACTATATTGGGACTTCCCTCATCAATTGCAGAAACTGTGCCTTGCATTGCCTCATCAATTTCATCCAGCCCGAAGAATTCACAACCAGATAGAGGAACAAATGTGTGCGATTCAACAGTCGAAACACCAGATACTGCTTGTCCTCCAGCATTTGATGATGATGTTATCTATGTTATAAGGCAAGGTAACTTCCCTGTTGGCATTGAGCAGTCCCGTGATGGAAAAGTAGAAATGGGTGTTCAAAATGTGGATGTTGAGAAACTCATAAATGCTGCGATGGATGAATTGGGTTCAAGAAATATTACTAGAGCAGTGACCCCTACATCAAGTTTCTCTGAGGCAATAAGTTCAACACCAAATGTTTCGGATGGTTCTGGTGACAAAGAAATAGGTGGTAGGAACTCTATTCCCTATGGTGTTAAAGAAATGGATACTAGGTATTGCACTTCCTCATCTCCAGAACTCATAAATGTTGTGAGGGATGAATTGGATATGAGAACCATAACTAGTCCAGTGGTTCTTATGTCAAGTTGCTCTGAAGCTTTAAGTTCAAGATTAAATGCTTCAGATTATTCTGGCGTCGAAGAACTGGATGTTAGGAACTCCATTCCCTCTGGTGTTAAAGAAATGGATACTAGGAATTCTGTTCCTTCATCTCCAGAACATGTAAATGTTGCTAAGGATGAACTGGATATGACAAATACGACTAGTCCCGTGACAGTTGCGTCAAATTTATTTGGAGCTTTAAGTTCAACCCCAAATCCCTCTGGTGTTAAAGAAATGGATATAGGCAACTCCATTTCTTCATCTCCAGAACCCATAGAAGTTGTGAGGAATGAATTGGATATAAGAAAGTCGACTAGTCCAGTGACCGTTACATCAAATTTCTCTGAAACTTCAAGTTCAACACCAAATATTTTGGATTATTCTGGTGTCAAAGAAATGGAGGGTAGGAACTCTGTTCCCACTGGTGCTCAAGAAATGGATATTGGGAACATCATTTCCTCATCTCCAGAACCCATGAATGTTGTGAGGGATGAATTGGATATAAGAAACATGACTAGTCGAGCAATCCTTGCATCAAGTTCCTCTGAAGCTTCAAGTTCAACACCAAATATTTCGGATTGTTCTGGTGTCAAAGAAATGGATGTCAGGAATTCCGTTCCCTCTGTGGTTCAAAAAACGGATGTTGTGAACTCCATTTTCTCATCTCCAGAACCCATAGATGTTGTGATAGATGAATTCAATGTGAGAACCATGGCTAGTCCAGTGACCCTGGCATCAAGCTGCTCTGAAGCTTTAAGTTCAACACCAAACGTCTCAGATAATCCTGGCGTTATAGAAACGGAGGTTAGGAACTCCAGTACCTCATCTCTAAAATCCAAGTCATTGGAGCCTGTGAAGACACCGGCAAAGGAAACTTTGGATGTCAATTCTTTTAGGCAAAGGGCAGAAGCACTTGAAGGGCTTCTTGAATTGTCAGCTGAGTTACTGCATCAAAACAGATTGCAAGAGCTCTCCGTCGTTTTGAGGCCTTTCGGCAAAGCTTTGGTGTCCCCAAGGGAGACGGCGATCTGGTTATCAAAGAGTATGAAAGGAATGATGACTGAGGACCGCGAACGGAGTTCATGAAGTACCTGTTTCCGGGATGAGCTTTCTTTTTCTCTTTGCTAACTTATTCACATTGCTGTTGTATTTGTTAACTCCTTAATCACAACGTTTATCTCCTTTCACCTCTCTCTGTAGTTCTCTGGTAGCATTATCATTGTACAATTGTAAATGCAAACTGCTTGTCCAAACAAATGCATGAATATGGTATAGAAATAGAATCACGTTGAATGCAAACCAAAGTGAAATTGCTACGGTTTTTATTTGTTTACTGTATCCTCATGGCATTGTAATATAATTTTCTGAATCAACTCAATTAGGCGTTTTCAAAACTCGGATCGACTAAAAAAATTGAATTTTTATATTCAATTTGGCTTGAATTGACTTGTAATATCATAAATTTGACTCGATTTGAAAAAAATTAAATTTGAGTAAAATTATAAAATAGATTTGAATAATTTGAAACTTTTAGTAATTAATAGATTAATTTACAAGTTTGAATTGAGTCCTCCAACTCTGAATAATATATATATAGAAAATCGTTTAAAGTTGGAAAGTAAATTAAACGTCCGTTTGTTTTTCAGAAAACATAATCCAGAAAATGAATTATATTTCCAGGAAAAACACTTTTTGGAAATCATTTTATAATGTTTGGATGATGTTGTGTAATTCATTTTTCATTAGTTGGTAATTTTTTTAAATTTTTTTTATTATAAACATCAAATGTAATAAATAATATTATTTATTAATAAAATAATAATATTATTTTCAAATATTATAATAATTTATCTAATATTATTTTTAATGTCAATATTATTATTAAATATTATATCTATAATTTTAAATAAAAATATTAATATTATTATATTTTATTAGAATAAAAATATTATAATTATATTAAATATTTATTAAAATAAAAAATAATATGTTGTTAAGTATATTAATTACTTATTAAAACGATTATATTACTCCTCTATTAAAAGTTATAATATTAAAATAAGTATATTATATTATATTTTAAAATATATATTTTAAATATTTAACAATTCAATAATATTATTTTTATGAATTTAATAAATAATATTAGTTTTATTAATAATTTATTATATATTATTAAAATAAAAATATTATATTATATTATAAATTTTTTAGTAAATATAATTTTAATAATTATATAATTATTAAAATGATATCAAAATAATATATTAATATCAAATATATAAAATAATAATATTTTCAATATTTATACTTTAGAATGAAAAATTCATAAAATGACTTACGAAAAAAATTAGACGTTAGTTATTTTTCAGAAAACACAAAAAAAATATTAAACCCGAAAAATAAATAACATTAATCAACTGTTATCCACCAATCAAACATTAAAAAATGTGAAAATATTTTTCAAAAAACAATTCAAGGAAACATACAAAACCTAACTTCTCACTGAATTTGATTTGTTTTTTACGAAAATCAATTGATAAAAAAATTATAAAAAATAAAATAAAATGACTAATGTTTATGTTTTTAGAGAATTAAGTTACGGAATTTATAAATTTTTTTATGTTAATTTTCCCTCGTATTTGTTAACTTTTCTCCCTCCCGCTTTATTCATTTTCCATCTTGCCAAACACTAGGCCTAACCAATTCCCATCCAAAAAAACCCAAAATTCTGTAATTTTCTTAGATAAGTATTAAACTTTAATTTAAGTTTTTGTTTATGATGTCGAGTTCGCAAGAGCAGTTAAACCAATCAATGCACCTGCAAAATCAACTCCCGCTAAAACCAAAGCTATCTTTCTCTGTAAAGTCATCGTTTATGGGCGATTTGACCTAACTAACACGTTTTTTTTAAATTCTCGTTCTAACATTCGTTGACTAATATTTCCCGAAGTAGCACCCTTTCGGCTGAGGTGGCACAAAAGCGCATCCCCAGGGACACGTTTTACCTAGGTTTATGATGAGCCAGATGCCACGTGTGAAAGACGCATCCCGGGGATGTGCTTTCACGGGATTATGTTGGATCGGACGCCACGTGGGGAAGGCACATCCCCGGAGACGCGCCTCCCATTAAATGCCATAAATTCCCCCATCCGTTTTCCCCCAACTACCCCTCTTCCTCCCCTATGTAAACCCCCTCAACCCCTCTCATTCTTCACACCAAAATCATCTTCTCCTCTCTTATATAACTCAAATTCTCCAACTATTTGAGTTTTAAATTTCTTATTAGTGGTAAGAAATTTATTTTTAAGTTAGTATTTTTTTAAATAGTTTTTATATTTTATAGTAATATCATTATATAAATATTATTTTTTATTAAAATAATATTTATATAAATGTTATTTATTTAAATTTATTAATTATTTATTTTTTTTGTACTAATTATATTTTTTTATCTGCAGTTATAATGAAAAGTAAAATGCTGCTGCGATTGGATGCAAATCATATCTCCAACATTTTAGTGATATGATAATATTTTTTTATAATTAATGTTAATATTTATTATTATTTTAATTTAAATTTATAATGAATTTATATTAATTATAAATTTTTATAATGCATATTATTTAGGAAAATGATCGTATTTTAGAGACTTTTATTAAAAACCCACATATACCAGCACCGCAACATATTTTGCCATATTTGTCTTCTGCTGAGTTCGAGTATATTACAACAATTATTGGCGGTTGCAAACTCGAACATGTCCTAATTTCTGCATTGATTGAGAGGTGGAGGCCTGAGACACACACATTTCATCTTCCGTGTGGAGAGGCTACAATTACATTGGAGGATATCTCTATGCATCTGGGGCTTCCCGTCGATGGGAATATTATGTGTGGTGTGGCGGATAGTGATTGGCAGTCAATGTGCAAGGAGTATCTTGGAGCTGCTCCGCCAGAGTTTAATGGAGGTAGAATAGCTTTATCATGGTTGAAAGCTAGTTTTAAAGTTCTGAATTGAAATGCTTTAGATGATGAAGTAAAGGCATGTGCTCGGACTTATATTTTACGAATCATTGGAGGAATATTGATGCCCGACAAATCTCGCAACCAGGTGCATTGTATGTGGTTGCGGCATCTGGTTAATTTTGATGAAACTGGAATATATAGTTTGGGCGCTGTAGTTTTGGCATTTCTCTTTAGAGAAATGTGTCGTGCGACAAATTATAAGAAAACTGCTATCGGTGAATGTCTCATGCTTCTACAATCATTTCGTGGTTCCGCATGCCTTTCTTATGCCCGATCGTCAATGAACCATACGTATTCCCCTTATTATTGAGGTAATTTTCGAACTAAATTTTGATTTAAATATTTTTAATTAAATAGGGTGATATTTAGTTTATATTATATTTCATAAGTGGTCGATGAAAAAAAAGAACCATAGAGATATACCTACTGGACTAGAGGAAATCTGTTTACTTATTGATACAAAAGTTTGGTCTGAGATATGTTTTGAAATCTATTTAACTATGAATATTTTAATTTAAAATGTTAGATATAATTAGAATATTATATTTATTTAAATTGTATATTTATATTTCAGTTTCAGTGGATACCTTATGCGAGCGATGAAGTAAAGGCTTGCATCCCACCCCACCTGAGTGGGTCATTAGAGGTATGGATGTCAATTGTACCTCTTATATGTTATGTTATTATTGAGTGGCATCCAGTTGATCCCGTGCTCGTCAGTTTGGTTGTACACAATATATTCCTAGAGCACTAGGAATTTAGACGACATGCATAATATAGATAGACGAGGCAAGAAATATGTTAACTGGGTGGTGAGACACATAGATTGGATTGCGCTTTGGGAGAACCGGTATGCACAGTTGGCCCCTCGACAATATTATGCTGAAACTAGTCATATGGTTACGGATAACTATATGGACTGGTTTAATGAAAATGGAAAGTCGTTTCTATTTTCGGCGGAACCACGAGGGGTTAACATTCCTAGGCACCGAGAGAGACGTCCACCGTCTTAATATCATCGTCCCCCGACTTGTGGACGGAGAGAAGGCGCTATCGGTTCTGCATCAGTCCCACAACAACATCCCTATTGACCGATGATGATGCTCAACCCTCCAGTTCATATGTCATCTCCTCAGGGGTATATGCCAAGCCCACCAGTTTATATGTCATCTCCACAGGGTTACATTCCTAGCCCTCAGGGTTACATTCCTAGCCCGCAGGGTTTTATGACACCATATGGAGGTGCATATACGGCTATGTTTAATGATCCAACATGTGGTTCATATGCATCTTATTTGGCTGGTGGTCCTTCTCCACAGACACCTCAATCTCTATCTGGATCACACACATCGATGCCAATGTTTTCACATTTTTCTCAATTTTCTATGAGCGGTGGGATTGTTATTAGCACTCCTCCAGGGTCATTATTTTATACAGGCACTTCAGCGTCATCTACAACACCAGCCGAAGAAAATGTCGATGATAATGATGATAGTGAAGATGAGGAGACTAAAGAACAAGTTCCACAAAAAATCCTCAATGAAATAGACAACTACCACCATGTGGAACTCATTCGAGAAGACGACATCAGTGATCCAGTTTTATTTTAATGTTATTTAAATAGTTATATTTCATAAATTTATGTAATTTGGTTATGTTATTTTAATGTTTCATGGTTGTTAGAACAATATTTTTAATGTTATTTTTTATTCAAATTTAACATTAAATGTTTTTAATATACAAATTATAGTATTCAAAATTTAAAATTAAAATACAAATTATGGTATTCGAAATTTAACATTAAATTCAACTTAATATTCAATAGTATTCAAAATTAAAAGTTATATTCCAATTATAATTCACAGTACTTAAATTAAAATTAAATTTATCTATACGTATGATTTTATCCTTAACATATACATTAAAACATATACATTAAAACTAACTTATCACTTCATATTTATTCGTAAAAACATGTCGATGCTCATTCCATACAATTTCAATGTCACGACCAACTTATCACTTCACATTTATTCAATTTATTCATAACATTTTATCCAATATATTCAAACAACTAATTGATCACTTAACATTTATTCAATTTATTCATAACATTTTATCCAATTTATTCAAACTTCACATAACATTTTAA